TCCATAACAGGATAATCCCATCACTAGCCGAATTTTTTCATGACATGATGGACACATCAAGATCCAATGGGTAACCCACTAACGTTAGGTGTCCCACATGCGAGACACCAGAAAGAATAAACATAGCTGGGCGTCCCGCCAGTGTGACACTGTTTCGGGGCTTGCACTCTGACGCAGCAGCTGGTTGGGGCTGGCCGGGGGGCAGAGTCCGGGGCAGCCCCGCCCGCCTGCCCAGAATCTTTTATTTTCGGCTTTGAAATATACCACCGTTCATGGGTTAAGGAAAACATTGATTTTTGGATTTTTCCTTACAGTTTGTTAGCCATTCTACTCATATTTGAAATTGAATTTTGTTTTTAGGCCTTTTCATTTTGTCTTCAGGATTTCTGATTTCTTCAATGTCCACTCAAGCCAATAAAATTAAGGGATTGTTTTGTTTATGCTTTTTTTTTTTTTTTTTTTTTTAATCTAAGGAACATTTACTCAAACAAAATGCAATGTATTAAAAGTTATCTTATGTATTAGTTTTATGTATTATTTCATACATACATATATGATATATGTTTTGTAGATTTATGATTCAATAAGATGAGAAATTTGAAATGATCTCTGTCAGAAACAATTGATTTGATCCCCAGATGGGGGTGGGGGGGGGGGCAAATTGAGTTAGCTAGCATATAGTATAGGTACATGGATGAAGGAACTACCAAACTAATGATAAAAACCAGCTATAACTAGTTCTTGGGCAGCACACGCAAGACCCGCTAAATACCTGGGGAGGTACGTTGCTAATGAGCACCCAGGTACACACTATGTGAACTTTTGCTTGTTGCAATTGTGCATGCAGCATTTGATTACAACACTGCACATAGATATGAGTTCTTGAATGTTCAAAGAACACTTTTAACAATATCAGAAAAAAATATATTACTGATTTATGATGAAATATTTTGTGAAATATATCAAAAAAAAATATATATATATATAATTGTGTCCTTTTACACATGAAGTATGCTTCCATCAAGAATCCCTGGTGATATAGTGTAGCTTACAAAGTGATCTGTATGTAGACCGAGTACGAAGTACTAATGTTTGAAAATAGCTGTATAAGTAAGGATTGAAATATTTCCGTTAGACTTCACTCAACACTCAATTTATTTGATCTTAAATTGGTTATTATCGCTGTAAAGGGCAATCCGATACTAAGGATACCTAAAAGTTGGATTTTTGAACTTTGGATGTATAAGCGAAATACTGATTATTTAAAAAAAATAAACACTCCGTGCGTCCCACCAGTGTGACGCTGTGTCGGGGTCGCGCTCCGGCTCAGCAGCGGGCCACGGCTGGTGGGCGGACAGACCCTGGGGAAGCTCCGCTCGCCGATTTTTGTAGCCGCCCGGATTTTTTTATTTTGGCTACAAAATGTACCCAGCGTGAGTGGGTTAAAGATGATATTACACAGTAATACCCGCTCTGAAATAAAAACTATATGGAATTTTGTACTCTTTTTATATGCACAGTCTTTGTCTAGAGTTGAAAAAGCTATCACCTCTGTTTTGTGCATTTCTGATAAAAATGTTATGTTTAGATGTTTAAATGTAGGTCTTAGGTACCATAAATTCTCAGAAATGTCCAATGACACCTAAGCGTCTGCATAATTTTATGCGCTTCTTAGTTAAGATAATGGTTGCAAATGGCTAGTCTACAACTCTACACTCGTTTCCCATGGCAATCTGTTACTATTGACAATTATCAAAGAAAACGGTTTGAGAGGGATAAGTAATATATTTTATGCCTTTAGCTATAAAAGTCGATGTAGGTCTACTAAATGAGGATGATTAAGGGGACCGTCTGGTCTTTTTTTGGCGATTTTCGCCCCTCTTTTCGAAATTGAATTAAATGCATTTTGAAGTAGTTCCTAGGCCCCCAGTTCTCCCCTGAAAATTTCAAGACCTGACCATTATTTTTTAGGTGTTAGCAACCATTTTTGATGTCGACTGAAATATTATTTTTTTCACCTTACCTTACAAAATCAGTAATTGTGACGCAATGATTAGAGATAATAAAAGAATTAGATTATTTTCTGAAAGCTTATTAAATTTCACATAAGGTGAGACCAACCTTCATTTTTTCGGAATTTGTAAAATCTGGAAAGTGGCCAAAAAACGATAATGAAATTTTTCATACAAATAAACAAACATGATATGCCATTCATAGGGTGTATTTTATTTTCTTTCTTTTCATTATACATAGCTAGTTTGATCTATGAGCAAAACATTTCGAAAATGTGTTCATAGCTTTCAGAAATAGAAAAACAAACAAACAAACAAGCGGAAGTAACAATATAAATAAACAAAGGTCATGGGGTACATGAAAATGATCTATATGTGCTTACATACCTTGTATACATATTTTTACACTGTAGTGTGCTCGTTTTTCATCTTTCACGGGAGACTGAGTGTGAAAAATGGCTACGCGGCCCTGTAGAGTTATACATGCTTGCTCCTCATAGGTAAAGAGAGCTGAGTCATTGCTCTTTGACACCCGGCTGCGCCGAGAAAAGGACGCTATGATTCCCGTTCAACTGGAGAAAGGTTATTCTTTCAACCAATATTATACGTTGTAAAACCCCATTAAAGTAACAATAATAGGTAAATAATAGATGATTATATCAATAAGTATTTTGCACATGATTTGTCATGCAAAATGTATAAATGGTAAATAGGAAAAAGATCACGATTATTAGGTACTTCACATTTTTACACATAGCACGTATTTTCAGTCCGATTTTAACGTATTATGGCTCATTTTATAGCTGAATAATACTTCTATTACATGCAGCCATAAGGATTTGCAATATTTTCATATGCTTCTTATCAAAGTGACTTATATTTTCAAAATCTCCTATTAGGGTACTTTAACAGTCACCTTCGGAAAATATTCACCCCCAAAAAAAAAAAAAAGCAAGGTCGACTTCTCAAAAATGGCTTCCGCATATTATAGTAGAAGGGTAGTTACAATGAGATATGAAATCAGAATGGCTGTATGATTTTTTTTGGATTTTTGAGAATTAAAAAAAAAAAGGTCAATGTAGGCCTATAGACCCCCCAGACCACTGCCACCACTCTACACTATACATAAGATTTTGAGAAACCATTACGTGCTGGTAATGTCCGGATGACTTCGGAATGCAGGTAGATGATAGAGGAATATGATATAGAGAGACTTTTCTTATATCTTATTTTGTTGATACAAAGATAGTCATGGAAAGATGAAGAAAACAAAAAAAGCTGATATCTTGGTACAACACCTTTGTTGGCGCAAAAGGTTTTTCAGACACAATTTTAGTCCAAAATAAAAGTTTTATGTCTCATTTTGTAGCTGAATAATAAATCAAGTGCTTGTTCAAGATGGATTTTTCAATTTTTGCCAGTGATTCTTGTAAAAATGACAAATGTGGTAAAAAAACATGCGAAAAAATAAAATCCTGATAGTCGGTAATTCATAAATTCACCCCCCCAAAAAAACAGTTGAAATCGAAAAAACTGTTTCGAACAAGCACTAGATCTAGGATGAATCTGTTCAAAAATCACATCAGAATGCATGTGTAATTTTTACTGGATTTTAAAAACTTTTTGCCATTTTGTCAATTTTCAAACTGAGAGCTTTGCAATTTTTCAGTTTTGACAATAATTCAAAAACTGTTCGGCCGATTTCTTAAAAAAAATTTACAACACAGGGATCAGGGGAGGGTCTAAACAAAAGGGTGTGAGTTTCATCAAAATCGGCAAGAAAAATTGAAAAGTCAAAAAATGAAAATGATAATGACTTGGTAATCATTGAATTGCAAAGTACACTCAACAAGCATATATATATATATATATATATATATATATATATATATATATATATTATATATATTATATATATATAAAATAAAACTTTAATAGATTTAGAGAAAAATAACAGAGATAATGAACTTTGGCAAGTTGCCAAAATATAAAACGTCATATCTCCGTTCTTTCTTTACATTACCATCGGTACATCACTATGCTTGTAATTTTCGTGCAATTCAAATGCAGTTTGTTGTTACTGCTAGAACCTCAGGGCCTTGAGGCCATGTAAATAGCTGATTTTTGAATTTTGCCCTTAATCAAAAAATATAAAAAATTTAATGCTGAAAAAAAACAGGACCAAAAATAGTACTCTGTCAACCAGTCCCCCACCCCCTCAAAAAAGGAAATTAAATAAATTGGCCATTTACACAGCCCTGGGCTAGCATAGATCTAACACATGAATTTTTTGTGGATTGGTAAGGAAAAAACTGGTCGGAGTGGTGATGTACCAAAGAAGAGGGGGGGGGGGAAGGCGTCCCCTTCCCTATGGGAGTAATATTATGAGACGAAGTGCAATTCTATGCTCAGTATTCTGCAAAATGAATCAATGAGTTATTTCCAACCATTGTTTTTTTTTTTATGATGATGAAATGAGTAGGGAAAGGTGATCATTCTCTGGGATGGTCCCCTTAGTAATGTTTTTTTATAATGATAAGAATCCTTAGGAAATTTATTCTTATAAATGGCACACTTAATTTCTGTGAAGAGGAAAGGGATGTAGATCATCATGATGGATCCTTTAACCCACTCACGCCGGGTACATTTTGTAGCCAAAATTTAAAAAATCCGGGCGGCTACAAAATCGGCGGGCGGAGCTTCCCCGGAGTCTGTCCACCCGCCCGGCCACGCGCCGCTTCTGCCTCGGAGCGCAGCTCCGAGACAGCATCACACTGGCGGGCAGCCCGACATTGTTTATTTTTCCCTGTGTCTCATATATGTGACACCCGAGACGAATGGGTTAAGTATTATGCCCAATTCATGAACATTTCATTGATGTCCTTTGATTTGATCTCATTTTTTGGAACATTTGCTCATTCTGAAAGTATCGGGTTTCAGAAGTTTGTAATTCCCAATGAAATTAATTCTTGAATTCTTTACTTTCAG